GTAAAGCAGAGCTTCCTCAGCAAAACAATGGTTGGGAAACGTTCTCATGCAGAACCTCCTGAAGTCAAGAAGCAGACCCACAAAAAGGGTTCCTCCACACATCTAACTGATGCTTGGGCTGTGGCTGTTGCCACCCATGCAATCCCAGGTATGGGGGTCGCATGGAACAAAGGAATCGAGACCGTGCATGAAAGCTGGACATTTCCCATTGATGAGAACTTGCTGGGGGTGTGGAACCCTAGTTCATCCTCTGCTTGCTGACTCATTCAAGAACCAGCCTGATGCAGAGGAAATGCTTGTCTCTCCCCTGGCAACTGTTTCTTCCTCCATATGAGGGCCTATCTCCTTGTTAATGATGTTGAATTCTGGTTCTAAAGAAAGGAAAGAGAAACCAGAGTCATATGAATGGCTGCTTTCAATGGGCAGGGGGGTGGGATTTCCCAGCGTATGGAATGGAGTGAGTCCGGAATACTGCTCAATGGGATTCACTCAAAGATCACTTGCCAACACATCACAAGTTTTCAGCTAACACTGGGTGGCAGACAGGACTGGATGGAGACGGGGCTTTTCTGGAGCCAAGCTTTCATAGAACACTTTTAATGAGCTTGTCTCTTGTTTCCCCTGCATTGCTCTGCCTTTTAAATTCTGTTTTCTAAGGTGCCTGTCTCATCTCTCATAGGCTCTTTTCAATTTTAGTACATTAAGCAGACTAAGGGCTATTTTGCATTTCGCTCCTAAGAACGGGATGTCGCCATGTCAAGAAGATTTGGCACCGCTTCCTTTTAGCACGACTAAGAACTTTTCCCCCATTTCCAGTATAAAATGTGGGCATGTTCTGCTTCTCCCTCAGAGTTTACATACTTAATTTCACCATTGCTATGCTGGAAGAAGGCATGCATTTGACTGAAGCAACTCTGATGGTGTATTTTTAGCCAGTTTCCCTGGGAAGAGGCTTCCACAGATGGGGAACCAATTGCAGGTCAATTCTGTTTCCAGGGCAGCTCCATCTGGTACACCAGCTGAGACCCTACCTGCCTGTCTCACCAGAGTGGTACATGTTCTGGTTATCTCCCACTTGGACAAATGCAATGTGCTACATGGGGCTACCTTTGAAGGTGACTCGGAAACTACAATTAATCCAGAATGCAGCTGCCAGTCTGGGAGCAGGGGCTAGGACCATATAACACTGGTCCTAAAAGACCTACATTGGCTCCCAGTATGTTTCTGAGCACAATTCAAAGTGTTGGTGCTTACCTTTAAAGCCCTAAATGGCTGATATACCTGAAGGAGCATCTCCACCCCCATCGTTCAGCCCAGACACCAGTTCTGAAGGTTTCCTGGCTGTTCCCTCAGTTGTGAGAAGTGAAGTTACAAGGAACCAGGCAGAGGACGTTCTTGGTAGCGGCACCTGCCCTGCGGAACGCCCTCCCGTCAGATGTCAAAGAGATAAACAATTATACGACCTTCCATAGATATCTGAAGGCTGTCATGTTTCAGGAAGCATTTAATGTCTGATGTTTTCTTGTGTTTATATTCTGTTGCAAGCCACCGAGAGTGGCTGGGGCAACTGAGTCAGATGAGTGAGGTACAAGTATGTAAGTAAGTAAGTAAGTACGTAAGTAAGTAAGTAAATGGTGATGATGATGATGATGTCATCCAAGATCTTGCTGTCCTGTAGGCTAGTCTACCAGGTCCATGAAAGAATTATTTTCCTCCCGTATCATAACAAGAATATTTTCTAAAAGTCTGCCTATCACATATTCTGGATGCATACTTGCCAAGGATAATCTAAAGCAGTGTGGTATTTTATAGAAAACCACATAATGGAGTGGCTTGTAATGACCTCAGCCATTGTGACCAGGCTATGTGTATACATGCAGTTTGCATACACAGCATGTAAGACTTTCTGGCATCCTGTTTTCAAAACCTGAAGCTGCATTTTCCCTTGCTACCAAATCTGCATATTTTCTCAGAGCTCGCTTCTTTCACCACAATAGACAATATCTCCCCTCCTGCCAAAGAAATGTCCAAATGCTAAAGAGTAGCTATAACAGTCATTACTACAACAGCAACTTTGAGCTACGAGCACTCTTAAATTAGAATTATTGCTGCAAATGATTTGTATATGTCTTGATTGCTGTGATTAACGATTCTGTGACCATAAATGTGTATTTTTGCAAATGCATGCTAACATCAGGCGCTGCATACAATGAACTTTTTCCCTTTTTGGCTGAATAGTTTAAATGACTTGTGTCCTTTACATACACAACATTGTCGCTGCTCAAAAAAACCCACAAATTGCATTCATGAAGAATCTGAGTCCCACTCCACCACTCTAACTAGTCACACCATTGCATGCATAAATTACAATTCTCAACAGATCTGTCTCAAATTTGTCCACCTTGTGTCACAGTCAACATGCAGATATTCCACACCAAACTTGAGATCAGTTGGCCACATCATCTGGGTATGGTAAACAATTAGAGATTATCGGTGTGTGTGTGTGTGTGTGTTCAAATGGTGCCTCTATAGCACAGAGATGTGGCCCTGCAGATGGTGTTGGACTACAACTCCCATCATTCCTAAGTATTACCTATGTTGGCTGGGGATGAAGGGAGTTGGAGTCCAGTGACATCTAGAGTGTTACTGGTTCATCATCCCTGTTCCCACAGACTTTCAATGGGTTGCACACTTCCAATTTCAATTATGACTGCTAGCGGAAAGTACTGTTTGCTAGCTTCCTAGTCTAAAATCATTCCATCTACTGGTAAATTCATGTGGCACTTTTTGATTTTGCAGTCCGTTCTGATTAGTTCCTACATCCTCCATAGTTTACCATCTTATCTGTAATGCACCAGCACCTTTGCACATGACTTTGTCAACAAACATTGTTAAAGAAATCAGTAAATAACGCTAATGCCAGATTTTTAAGAATTGCTCCTGTTAGCCAATACTGTCAGTGATGCTGTCAGGAATTGTGTATAGGAGGTTTTTAATGTTTGATGTTGTTTTACTGTGTTTGATGTTTTGATTTGTTTTCGCCAGATACTCCGTTCCTTTCCCACCCATGGCCAGTCCAATACATTTTGCTGCCTGAGGCTGAGACATTCTATATACACAAAATTCTATATACAGAGGCCAACTGGGCTAGCCATTTAATCTGACTTCAACACTAACACAGCAGCACATATGAGGCTTGCCTTTGCCATGCAGAGCTATCTGCATGGTACACACACTTTACTGATGCCTGAGCTACCTCACTCTGCCTAACGATAGAGCTGGCCCCACACCTACCCCAGTTCTGATTCAGTTTGTTTATTTTCTGGACAGACACTCAGGTTGCAATCCTGTGCCCTTACCCTTACCCACAGGGCGGTTGGAGGATGGATGGCGGCTAATGGGCACCAGTGTTAAGTGTATGTACCTCAGGTTACATACGCTTCAGGTTACAGATGCTTCAGGTTACAGACTCCGCTAACCCAGAAATAGTGCTTCAGGTTAAGAACTTTGCTTCAGGATGAGAACAGAAATCAGGCTCCGGCGGCGTGGCGGCAGCAGGAGGCCCCATTAGCTAAAGTGGTGCTTCAGGTTAAGAACAGTTTCAGGTTAAGAACGGACTTCCGGAATGAATTAAGTACTTAACCTGAGGTACCACTGTACTGGTGAAAGGGCGGCATGCAAATTTAATAACTGAAATTCAGGGCAGGTAAGGCTATCCCTCCATGGCTCCTAGCCACAATGGCTATACTCTGCCTCCATGATTGGAGACAGTATGTTTCTGAATACCAGTTGCCAGAAACTGCAGAAGGGGCAAGTGCTGGTGCTTATTGGCTTCCCACAAATATCTGGTTGGCCACTGTGAGAACAGGATACTTATCCAGATGAGCTATTGACCAGATCCATCAGAGCTAGTCTTATGTCCTTACATAAAGCACTCTTATATCACTTTAGCAGTCGTGGAAAAGCCCGGGTACTGATGTTGGGAAATATAGCGCTCTGAGGTCAGCACTCTTAAACCACAGTTCCCAAGATTCTTTGAGGGAAGCAATGACTTCTTAAGCGATATAAGAGTGCTTTAAATGTATGGACGTGACCTCAGGGAAGAAGTTTGCAGTTACAGAGGTATGCATTTTTGATCCATGACTCAGAGAGTAAAAATAAATATGGAAATGTCTTATGAGTGGCCTGAAGGAGCCACCAGCATTCCTCTTAAACTGTGTGCAACGTCTCGCTCGGCATCTTAAAATGCGCTCATGCTTTGGAAGTCTGCATCCTGGGTGCGCAGTAAATTAAAGCAAAAGAGAAACTTCGAAGCAGCTGTCCTTCCCCTCGTTACCTTTCACGCCTTCCTAAAGCGCTGAAAGTTTCGGCTGGGCTTGAATTTACTTCGGGAGGCTTTTAAAAAGAAAACGCTGACAGAACAAGCCCTGTCTTGAATGCAGCGTAACGACGAGTCACGGGAGAGGGCAGGGAGACCAAAAGGAAGAAGAGCCGCCTGTGCTTCTGTTGACTTTTCCCTTGTCCTGGTCCTGCTCACTCCTGAGAAATCGCAGACAGGTTACTCGCCCTCTGGGGCAGCTTGCACAGAGCATTGATTTCACACGCACACACAAATAAAAATGCCAACACGTTTCCTGACCTCCTACAGGAAGCCTTGAAAAGAGAGCGCACACTTGCACCACCATTATTATTATTATTATTATTATTATTATTATTATTATTATTATTATTATTATTATTATTATTATTATTATTACTGTCCTAAAAGGATAGATGCATGTATATAATGCTGCATAACGCTATCTGGAGACCCAGAAATCTCGTTTGGCAAGGCGACGAAGGCAAGAGGAGAGGCTTGCGCGCTCGCCATTCTCTCCGGGGTCCAGAGTTTGCATTTCCAAGGAAGCTGAACTGACAAAGCGTGAAAGTGGCCTAAAAGTGGGGCGGGGGGCGCACAAAGGAAAGCCACCCCGGCTGCGGAGCGCGGAGGCTCATCAGTATTCGCCAGGCTCGCCTCCCAGCGCCCCTCGGCGCCGCCGCCGCCTGCGCGCACACACATTTGCCCGGCGCGGCTCCTCCCCTTTCCTTAACTTGCTGCGCTTCTAAGTTGCCTCCGGCAGAGTCCCAGCCTGCGCCCCCCGGCCCACCTTCTCGCTCCCGCTTCCCCGGACAGCTTCCGACCCTCCCCGCGTGGACTCCGCTCGATCCGGAGGGAATCTCGCCTCTTGCCACCCGCCCGCTTCGCTCGGAGTCTGGAAAGGTGAGCGCGCGCTCTCGATCTCGAATTGTAGAGTTGCGAGGGGATCGTATAGTCCGGACTCCCTTTAGTGCGCGGATCTTTTGCGCGACGTGGGGCTCGAACCCGCGACCCCGAGGTTCAGAGTCTCGCTGTGCTATCCCTTCTCCAGTTGCATATGCCTTCCTCTCCCCTTGGCACCCCCCGGTCCTTTCCTGCCTTAGTGGATGCTGTCTTCCTTTGGGGTACTCCTTGCACCCTGGGACAGCTTGGGGGGGGGCTCCTGATTTGGGATGCGGAAGAAGAGTGACAGTTTCTTTAACAGTGTAATGACCTGTGAAGTGTCGCCTTGGAGAGGTAAGTTTCCCGAAGTTCAGTGGGAGCTGTTTCCAAAAAAAAAAAAAAAAAGGAGGGTATAGGGTTGCAGCTAAAAAAATATACACCTTACAAATAGGATTCCCCTGCCCCAAAACGATATCTTTCCATAACCAGCAGACAGTGGGAAACTTTAATTTGTTCTAAATAATGCAGAAATTAATATTTCAACACGGCTGAGAGGATGAATGTTTCAGCAGGTACTTGTGAGAAACTTTATTAAAACTTCTATGGTTTTCGGTAGCTGGGAACCACCGGCTACTAGAGATGTTAAGCAGTTGATACAATTGGAAAATCTTGTTGTCTGTGCCCAGCTTCTCATCATTTCTAATCTTTTGTGAGTCAGCCTCATAACTTTTGCAGTGGGAGACGCGAACAGCTGTCTTAAATACCACGATCAAACGTGGAAGGTGAAGTTGGATTTAAGTCAAGGATTTTAAAAAAACCCAATCATGCACACCTTTAGAAGTGGGTGTTTGATGTGTGAGCTGCACATCAAAATATTAGTACTTGTGAGTGTAAATGTGTAATAAGCAAGCAGTGTCCCTCTAATAGGGGTTTAAACTCTAATTTGTCCTGTTTTGAGTTGATATGCAGACTACAGGATACCTCAAGAGAAAGTTGTGCCTGTGGGAGGGAAAATGTCTAAGAGTAACCTTCTTAAATACAGCGGATGAATGGATTGCATGCTTTTGTTTGGGGTCATGTACAAGATAATGTAAATTACTCATATACTGTCAGCAGAGAACTAAAAATGATTTCCACAAAAGCTGTGAAATTTGGCTAAAGTGTGATATATAACAAAAATAAGTAATTTGATCTGAAATAATTTTTTTAAGCAACCATAAGATATCCTGATGCAACGCAGCCAAATTTAAGTCCTGTTGCTTTTAGTGGGGGTGGTAAACCTGTTCTTTAATCTAAGCACTGGAACTTTGAGGATGCATCAATATGCTGCTTAGCTGAGCTCCAATGAACACAGTGCAGTTCATATCTGAATAAACACGCATACCGTTGCGCCCTAAAATAGCTGGATTGTGTCCGCGCCCCTCTTCATACAAGTGACTCTGTTCTCCTATGTTGTGATGTAAATTATTCCATACTGACTACAATGCCTTGATTATTTTTATTTATTTATTTTCAAAAAAATATTTGCATAAAAGAGTTGAAAGTTGGGTTTCTACTGCATGGTTTTGAAGGCAATTATTGAAAACTCGACTTTCTCAATCTCTCTCTCTCTCTCTCTCTTTTAGGATTTCTGTTGTCACTGATCAAGGAAAAGGAGTTTTCATCCCCCTCCCCACCACAGAGATTTTTTAACAGCAGCAAATCTATAAAGTAGAGGCGTTGTGAGCTATAGATGACTAAAAGTAACGGTGAAGACACGAGGTCAGGCAACAGGATGGAGCGCATTCAGCAAGGAGTCCGAAAACGTACTCTCCTGGCAAAGAAGAAAGTGCAGAGCATCACAAAGGATGATGTCAAAAGTTACTTACTGAGGAATTTTTTTGTGCTCTTCACCATCATTGCTGTCATTGTCGGTGAGTAATTTTGACTGAGGCAACAAATCTTGAAAAAACATCACTTGGACAGAGCGGTTGCTGTTGTCCACTTTCATCCCTGTTGAGAAGAACTTGCCGGCTTGGAAAGTTTTCTATCCGAACACTGCGTTGTTCAGGAGTTGGGGAAAGTTTCACTGTTGATGGTCAGGTCTGCAGTTCTGACTGCAGTTGCACGTCTCTGTGTTTTAAATCAGTAGAGCTCCAAGGGGGTTAAATCAGAAGGAAAATGGTTGAGTTATTTTACTGATTCCTTAAAAAAAAAGCCCTTAATTAGAAGCCGCTTTTTATGAGCCCTTAATCCTTCTTAACAATTAAAGAAAATTGGCTATGGCCTCAGCGCAATTTCCCAAGGGTGTGTTTCTCTTACGTATTTATTTACTATATTTTTATCCTGCTTCTCAGACCATTTCAGACAGCTATTGTCTCCCTAAGCAGCTCACTTCAATAAAAAGAGAGTGAAAGAGGTCAGCCATCAGACTTACAAACTAAAAAGGGAAGAGGAGTAAACGGAAGAGGAGTAAAGGGAAAGAAAGGTAGAAGAGAGAAAATCAGTTATTTGAGGCCAGAACGAAGTGTTGAGTTATAAGCATTTGTTATACCCTGTTTGGGTCAGGCTGATCTTCCTTTGCTGGTGTTCATGCTTAAATTCCAGTTGGTAGCTCTTAGAGCAAAGTTTCCAGCGTCTCTTAATTTTGAACAAAGTCAAGATCCAAAAATGAGAACATAACAGCCTCAATATTAAACTATTTCCCCCCTCACAGTTAAAGAATTACAGCCACACAGCCAAGGTCAGGAGTTGATGGTTTGTTTGGTTTTGGGTTTTTTTTAGAAATCTGTGTGTTACTCATGCAATTCAGTAGCTATTAAGATATATACCTGCACAATGGTTATGGAAGGTAACCTGATTGGGTTTTGTTTACAAAGCCGATTAGGGCAATGTTTGCACTTTTTATATATTTTGAGTATCTCCGGTGAGATGAAAGAAAAAGGTTGACTTGGGAATTTTTTATATATATATATATATATATATATATATATATATATATATATATATAAAAACTTCAGATAAGAATTTATACTGGCCTGAATCCACAGAACAGTGTGGTCGCTAGTTTTACAAGGCAAGGAGACTTTGGGCTGGTAGTCCCCATTTGCCTCATGGCAAATCTCTTTTTGAAACATTAAAAAGATACAGCGTTCTCATCCACCATTCAAATGAAAAACCATTTTTGATCCCACCAGGCCCGTCCAACTCCTTAGGCACGCCTAAAGTAGCTCTGTGAGCCATCGCTGTTGGGTTCCTTTTGTGAGAAAATATTTTTATAGGAAGAAAAGAATTCACGAAAGTGTGGTGTGTATGAAAATATTTGATTTCTGGGGTTCTGCTTTCTGCAAACAAAAATCATTTGCCCTCTGGAGAGTCGCAGTCTTTATTTTGGAGAGTATCAGGTGTTGGCTATTATTAAAAGCAAGACAGAAAGTCTGCCGAATACAGCGAAAGAGGCTGACCCATCTTGCTTCCTAAGCCTCTGCAAAGATTGCGGATCACGGATATATTCCTGTGGGAATTTCACAAGGATGTTAATAGGGGTGTCTGGTTCAGTGAGAAGATGCACAGAATCCCGGAACACTTTCCCAAAGTTTGCACTACGTGCAGATTGTGTCCCAAGCTTTCCACCCTTTTCATTATTACATTTTAATGGCCCAATTGGGTGTGAACCAACACAGTTGGGCTTGCAAGCGAAAACTTCTAGTTAATTTATGCCACAATTCGTCTTAAGAAACAAATTGGACTCCCAAGAGGAAGCTTATGTCTTCGAGGGAGGATGTGGCACTTCAGGAAAAAGTAAGGCTGAAATCCTCTGACCCTGAACCTGACTCACAAACTGATTAGAGTTAATATAATGTACTTGGACTTCCAAAAAGTTTTCAGCAAGGACCCCTGAGTAAGCTTAGCAATTAAGGGAAAAGAGGAGAGGTTCTCCTGTGGATCAGGAATTGGTTAAGCAGGAAGCATGGAGTGGGTATGAATTAACATTTCTCTGAACGAAGAGATGTAGAAAAATTAGTACCTCCAAGGATGGGTATTGGAACTTGTTCTTTTAACTTGTTCATGAATGACTTAAGAGTTCCACGCTGGGAATAATTAGAAAAAGAATTGAAAATAAAACTGCCAATATTATAATGTTGTTATACAAATGTATGGTGTGGCTGCACTAGGGATACTATGTCTAATTCTGGTCACCTCACCTCAGAAAAAGGATATTGTAGAGTAGGAAAAGGTTCAGAAATGGGCAACCAAAATGGTCAAGGGGATAGAGTGACTCCCCTAGATTGCAGTGTGTGTGACGTTTTGATTTGGTTTAGAGAAAAGGCGCGTAAGAGGTGTCATGAAAGAAGTTTATAGAAAGGATGCCTAACATGGAGAAAATGGGGGGGGGGAGAGTTTTTATCCCATCCATAACACTAGAACAGGCACGTCCAACAGGTAGATCATGATCTACCGGTAGATCACTAGACCAGTGTTTCCCAACCTTGGGCCTCCAGCTGTTTTTGGACTACAACTCCCATCATCCCTAGCTAGCAAGACCAGTGGTCAGGGATGATGGGAATTGTAGTTCAAAAACAGCTGGAGGCCCAAGGTTGGGAAACACTGCACTAGACATCTGTGGTAGATCACTGGCTCCCCTCAAACAACTTTGACCTGAACCCCACAAAAACAGGGCTTCCCCACCTAAGAAAAGCTAAACAACTTTGACCCGAACCCCCCAGAAGGGAGTATATCACTGCCAGTTTTTAACTCTGTGAGTAGATTGCAGTCTCTTGGGAGTTGGCCACCCATTCACTAGAACATGGACATCCAATGAGGCTGATCACTGGAAGATTCAGCACAAATAAAATGAAGTACTTCTTTATGTGGTGCATAGTTAAACTATGAAACTTATTCCCACAGGAGGCAGTGGTAGCTACCAACTTAGATAGCTTTAAAAGGGTTAGGAAAATTTGTGGAGGTGGCAGCTATTGATGGCTACCAGCCATGATGGTTATTCTTTGCCTCCATGGTTGGAGACAGTAATGTCATTGAATCCCAGTTGCTGGGAACTACAGGAGTAGAGAGCGTTCTAGTGTTTGGGTCCCGTTCCCTGGTTTCTCACTGGCATCTGGTTTGCCACTATGGGAACAGGGTGCTAGACTAGATGAGCCATTGGCCTGATCCTGCAGTCTCTTCTTATGTTACCTGGGAGCGTGCCTCACTGAATTCAGTGGGGCTTGAATAGACCTATGTAAGGCTATGCTGCAAATAAGGTCTACAGGATGTCACTGTTTAGGTATTGGAAATGGAACCATCAGAATCCTAACTGTTTCTATGTGGATACACCTTCCACTAAAAATAAATATTGGTGAGCAATTTTAAGAATTGCATTTCCCTCAGAATGCAAAGACTGTCTCGCACGCCTTTCAGGAAATCTCTCTTCGGGCATTGAATAGGCTTAGATTTGCATGGTTTTAACAGATTCTCAATCTAGCACCATCATATATATATGCCCTTAGATTGGTCCCCGTATAGAATCATAGACTAATGGATGGATATTATCTAACACACACACACACACACACACATTTTGTTGTGGAACTCTAAGCAATCACAAAAATTGCCTGGAAATCTATGCCAACAATTATTGAGAGTGGCTACAGAATTAGGGGTGATAGCTTCAATGGGAAAAACTTTCTGCATTGTAAAAAGGAACCAAAAGGACAGGTGGATTCACTTAAAGAAAGTCCTTTCATGCCCAGTTCCTCTAAGGATAACTTAGATTCACCTGCTGTGCACTCTCCCCCCCAAAAAAAAGAGAGATTCTGTAACTCTGTGTGGGGTGTGGGGTGAACTTTTGTTTTCCCCAGAACCAAGCTGAAAGCTGAACAGAACCAACAGCTATTTTTGTTTGGTGTTTCCATTTGTTGCAGTAAAACAGAAAGCGACATTGTGCATGTTTGAGAAACCACTGGGAATGATTTCGTATGAGGTGCTTCCTGTCTTGTCAGTCATATTGGAAAGCATAGAATTGCAGCATTCAAAGTTTTGATATGAAATTTCTAGTGTGCTAACATATTCTGAAATGTCTATTACAATTTGGAAATGAGCCTTTCTAGTGCCCCCCCCCCCCAAAAAAAACTGAATGATGTTGGTAGAATTGCAGGTCTTGGCATACAATCTCAAAGAAACACATTTGCAAATGGTTCATTGGAGGACTGAGTTTAAGTAACTTAACTTTGCAGGGCGGGATCCATAACTTTTGAATTTTGTGGAAATCTTCCTCCTCTTTAAGAAAAAGAGAGGTAGAAAGAAGACGAGAAGAAGAATGTTGCTGATACAAGGACTTATTTGTTGAATTTATTTGTTTGTTGGAATTTCTATACCGCTTAACATTTTAAAATGCATGAGCAATGTGCATTTTAAAACCTGAAATTACGGTATATGCAAAACACAATACGGAAAAAGGAGCAAAATATCTTCAACAGCACGGGCAACTATGGCAGGGAAAGCCTACATGAATAAGAAAGCTTGAAGCATAGGTCTAAAACATAGCAATGTAGACCCTGATCAGACATCCATTCTATAAAATAGTGTAGTAAAGTCCAATCAGCAATATATGATAGTCTTAAGATGTTGATTTGCAGGCTAATTTAGTTTGCTTCACTTGCAAAAGATCTAATTTTGTACCATGGATGTTTTGTAAATGGATCAAGCGGGCCAATTGCAATGCACTCTTACATTGTCATCTTCTGGAATCCTATGAGTTTGGCTTTTTTCTCTCTTTCTGCATGGATATTGTCTATTTCAATCAGGAATGCATCGAGCAAGAATGGGGGACCCACGGCCCATCAGGTGGTGTTAGACTCAGCTCCTATCAGCCTCAGATTTGTGGTCAGTGGTCAGGGATGATGGAAGTTGGAGTCCAAAAGCTTCTGTAGGGTCA